CCCTTCCTTCCTTCCTTCCTTCCTTCCTTCCTTCCTTCCTTCCTTCCTTCCTTCCTTCCTTCCTTCCTTCCTTCCTCTTCCCTTTCTCACTCCCCCTCCTCCTCTCCTCCTTCCTCTTCTTCTCCCTTCTCCCTCCCTTCCTTGTCTTCCTCCTGGGGGGGGGGTCTTCCTTCCTTTGATCTCCACACACCATCCCAGTGAGGTAGGCTAGAGAGCGGGAGGGAGACAGGCCTGATGTCCGAGTTTTCATAACCGAGGGGAGACTACAATCTGGGTCTCTCTGGCCTATGGCTGCCCCCTTGACCGGCTCCCCAGATTCTCACTGCTCCCCCTGCCGCATTGGCAGGCAATGCCTCTCAGTGCACCTGCACACCTGCCCACCTCTTCCCCTCCACCCCACAAGTGGGGTTTGCCTAGAGACAGTAGCTTTGCTTGGGGGACCTTCAGATAACAGATAATCAGAGTTGGAAGGGACCTTGGAGGTCATCTAGTCCAACCCCCGCCCCGCCTAAGCAGGAGACCCTACACCATTTCTGACAAATGGCAGTCCAATCTCTTCTTGAAAGACCTAGAAGGAATGAGGCTGGCTGGGCATGAAAGGAACTGTAACCCTCTTAAGTTTTAACAGAGATTAACAGAGTTGGAAGGGACCTTGTGGATCATCTAGTCCAACCCCACCCCCCTCACCCAAGCAGGAGACCCTACCCCATTTCTGACAGATAGGAGTCCAGTCTCTTCTTGAAAGCTTCCAGGGATGAAGGTCCCACAACTTCCAAAGGCAACTTCTGTTCCATTGAATATAGAATAACAGAGTTGGAAGGGACCTTGTAGGTCATCTAGTCCAACCCCCTCGGCCAAGCAGGAGACCCTCCACCATTTACATTTTACATTTGATTTGATTTGTCAATCGCTTACAAGATGACAGGTATAAGAATAAATATAGTTTTGAATACATGAGATAGATAGCTATAAGAAAAATAATTTCTGCGAGGAAGCATGGAATAAACCTCCTCCTCCCAGAGGTTTCAGCCTCGTGTGTGTGTGTGTGTGTGTGTGTGTGTGGACTGGGCTGGGCGGGCTGGATGACCTCCAAGGGCCCCGTCTTTGCAATCAAAAGCAAAGCTGACACGAAGCGTCCCTTCTCCTCAGCCCCCAGGGGCATCCATCCAACCCCTCGGCCCCCAGGGACACCCGCTTGTCCTTTGATGGCTGAATAAGAACATGACTGGCAGGGCGAGTGGGCGGCGGCTGTGCCAATTCACTCTGGCGTGGCAGTTCCTGAATTCACCCCAAAGGCATCCAAAGGGGCAGGGAGAGGCCAGGCCCACGGCATCAAAAGCTCGGCTGCCCCAGCTTCTGCCCAGTCTGGAAGGAAGACGTTTTCTCGCTCTCTCTCTTTCTTGAATCTGCCAAGCTCAGCCTGGAGCATGACTGGAATTCAAGCCCTGAGGTTTTTCCTTCTCTGCCTGGCACCAGGTAAGGCAAGGCATCCCCTTCCCAGGTGGCTTTCCCTGGCTGGGGAGAAGTTTGGAGAAGCTGTCGGTTGGGAAACGGGGGGCGCTTCTGAACCTGTAGGACACTTTGAAAAGCAGCAGACTTTCGAGTTCTTTTGTGTTGTTTTTGTGTGTGTGTGTGTGTGTGTGGTTTTTTTTTTTTTTTTGGAGATTAGTTTTTGTAAAGGCAAGAGAGAATAATGAACCAAAAGTAATTACTAAGGAGAGGAAAGGGAAGAAAGGAAGGGAAAGCAAAGACAAAAGTGAGGAAAGGGAGGAGGGAAGAAAGAAAGAAGAAAAGAAAGAAAGAGGAAAAAGAAAGAGACAGAAAGAAGAAAGGAAGGAAGGAAGAAGGCAAAAAGAAAGAAAGATAGGAGGAACAAAAGAAGGAAGGAAGGAAGGAAGGAAAAGGAAAAAGAAAAAAGGCAAAAGGAAGAAAGGAAGAAGGCAAAAAGAAAAAGAAAGGAAGGAAAGAAGGAAGAAAAAAAAGAAAGAAAGAAAGCAAACGGAGGGAGGGAGGAAAGGAAAGGAAAGGAAAGGAAAGGAAAGGAAAGGAAAGGAAAGGAGTTTTCTGGGTGTAGGCATTCATCTCTCTGCTGGAATATTTTTGGGGAAATTCTCTAAATTATTTAGTCTCCGGTGCCGGACAAGCAAGTTAAGACACGTCTCTCTTTGCTTTGACAATTCAGCCCTTTCACCTGCTGTGAAGATCAATGCCAAAGGCCGAGAGATCATCTACCTGGCCAAGGGGGAGTCGGTGAAGTTGGGGTGTCCGTTTGAGCTGGAACCCCAAGATGATGGCCCCAATGACTTGGATATTGAGTGGACACAGATGAATGCTGATCCCACCAATTTGGACAATGTGGTGAGTTTGCTGAGGTCATCCAGACTCAATACTTATTCCAATGTTTCTAAACTTTAGCAACTTTCAGATGGGTGGACTACAACTCCCAGAATCCCCCACCCATCTTGAAGTTGCCAAGCTTGAAAAAATTCTGTTCAAAGTTTCAAACTCTTGTCTTAAAGATGGAACCTTCTTAAAGCTGGTTACACCACTGCCTTTGAGTGGATTTTTTTTTTTTTAATAAAACAGAAGTATTAACCAAGAATCCAGGGAAGAATTGTATCATAATTAATGTCTATTTGTTCATCTTATTGGTAATTTGTAAGCTGCTGACTGACCTGATTTTAAAACCTTTCTTATGGCGGCCATTAAATGAACCAATGGTTCACTAGGGTTGTGCTTTTTCCAAAATCCATAAGTGCATGCAGCTTTTTGGCAAAACTGGCAGAAAACATGGTCACGTGACCACAGGCCGTAAACGAACCTAATATGCCAAATTTACCTCCAAAGCTTGGTCACATGACTGCTTAACAGATTAACAGAGTTGGAAGGGACCTTGTTGGTCATCTAGTCCACCTCCCGCCCAAGCAGGAGACTCTACACCATTTCTTGAGTTGTCTCTTCTTGAAAGCTTCCAGCGATGAAGCTCCCACAACTCCCACGACTTCCGACCATCAGAACTTCAAACCCGAGTCCTTAAGTTCCCCTTTTTGGGGCCCAGTCGTAATTCGAGGACTACCTTTTGGAAGACTTCGTCCTAATTAAGTTGCCTTCCTCAAGTCTTATTGGGAAAATTAATTAGATGATTTCATGCCTGATTCTGGGTGCTGGGTTTTAAGATTGCTTGATCAGAGTTTGCAAAGCCGACAAAGAAAAAAAATGAATCAAAGCTAATCATTAAAATAAACAAACTTTATTTCTCCAGTTTTGGATCGGTGAGGAAAGTAGCACCACAATAATTCTTTATTTCTGCAGTTTTGGATCGGAGGACGATAGTAGCACGATATTTGCAGACTTGCGGTCCAATTTCCAGATCAAAAGAGAGAGATTGAATCCAGCCAGTCTGCAAAAACACCGCCAACAGATCCCATTTCTCCTTAAGCCAATCAGAAACCTCTCTCTCTCTCTTTTTGTTTTTTGATCCAACCAGTGCTGTTCTCTGCTTCCTGCCCATCAGATCCTAAGCTATCAAGGCCAGCAAGTGATCCACCCTGGATACCCATATTTGCATCCCAGGGGTGGGTCAGGAAACCAAGATGCCGGCCGCTTTAGTAACCCGGGATTTCAGCAGAGCGAAAGCGGTCAGCGGTTTGGGTCGGTTGACGATTGCTGCCATGGCTTACAACAGCGGGTCAACTTCGCCCTCCCGGACCCAAGCAAGTACGACGCCTCCATCAATCTCCAAAATGTTCAGATCTCTGACTCGGCCACCTACGAATGTAAAGTGAAGAAGACCTCCGTAGCCACCCGGAAAGTGACCGTCAGGGTACTTGGTGAGTGAGTGGTGACGACTGGACACGAGCAGAGCTCAGGCC